CCCCCCATAATAAACAAGGAAAGACTGTATAGGAGTTTAAATTATTGGTTCAAGGGCACATAACTAGTAAGGCACAAAGTTGGGACAAGTGGCAGTACTCCGCTCTATTCAGGGAAAGGGTGAGCGTGGCAAAAGGCATCAGCGTTTGGATGACTCTCAGTGTCCTTGATGGCACCTCAGAGGGGCCTCAGGTTGTGGACCTTCATCCCCACAATGATGACATCACCAATTAAGGGGACACGTGGAGGAAAAACAGGCTTAGCTGAGTTAGTAGAAAACCCAAAAATCAAGATGAGAAGAGGACATGAATCTGGTTGGCTAGTCTCTGTAGCTGCTGTTCTATGGAGGAGGTTAACACTTCCTGAAGTTGTTCTCAGGTTGGAAACTTGCCCTGGAGCATGCACAGAGATGAGCTGTGCACTCCCGGCTTCACCTCATCCCATAAAATGTTCAGCTCTAGGAACTGACAAGCTGCAGCCAAGGAGCTAAAAAAAAAGGGAAGCGATGAAAACTGCATCATCGTTTGCCAGGCGACCTGTTAGAAGAATTGAGGAGTCCATCATCAGCTTCCTTGCCAAGATCTGACCCAGCGCCTTATGCTTCTGTAGCCAGTGTCCCAGAATTTCAATGACTATGTCTAACTTCCCCATTTTTTGCTTAAGCGTAAAAGCTCCCTGAGCCCTCTGCTCAGAGCATCAGTTCTTTGAGAAACTATTTTTGCTGCCTCCTTTCTTGCTGCAAGAAATAAAATCCAACTTACTCCTTCCACTTATCTCTCTTATTCTTGTATGAGTTAAAGTGAACCCATTGTGTTTGGTTTCAATAACATTCCATAGAGGTTTTGCTGCTAATAAATCAGACAGACCTAGGTTCATGCACCAGCTTTGCCTCCTCTAGCTGGGATTTTGGACAATTCAGGCAATTCCTCTAAGTCTTAGTTTACTACAGATTGAATGGTGGTAACATCCACTCTGTCTCATTGCCAATTGGATCAAATGAGACCATCAACACTTGGCTCATCATAGTTTCTCAAAATATATTTGTTGAGTTGCATGACAAATATGAAGATGCTGTATAAAGCACTATGAAATTGCAAGGTATTACTGTTTTTCTGTTTTTCAATTTACAAAAAAAATAATAATGACCTAAGAGATCTCCATGTTTCTACTTACTACCAAGCAATTTCCTCAGTCTGCTTGTGCTAACTCAACCAGAATAACAGAGGCAAGGTCAAGTTGCACTAATACTGTTTACAGGAAGTTAAACTTCTGCAGCAGGATTAAAGGTCTCACCACATCAGCCAAATATTGCCACTCTGTTAATCATAAAACAGGGTCACAGGCCAATGTTCACCACTGTGAGACAGGGGGCCAGCAGGAGAGGGTAGGGCCAGAGAAGGGCTTCTATGCCCTTGTGTCTCTGCTCACTGAGGTTTGGGCTCACTTTAAAAAAAAAAAAAGGTGTAATGAGACATTGTTCACATTATGTTATTAAGTGCAAAGAGGAAGTTTCAGGAAAGTATGCATAAATGTCATCTTACTTTTTGAACTAAACAATGGTGTGCATACATGTTGTCTGTGTGTCTGTATAAGCAGAGGGGGTTACATCTGCAGAACGGGATGGAATGGCGTGTGCTCACATTTCCCTTCCTGCATTTTTGGTAATGTTTGCCTAGTTAATGAACAGAAAGACAGCAACATAGACACAAACATAGGTGTAGACATATAGATGAGTCAAAGGGAAGCTGTACGCAATCTAGGGGGGAGCTGTGAGTGTGAACATGTATGAAGAGAGGTGACCACAGAAAAATAAGACAAGGGACCTCAGAGATAACTGTACCAGCCCCTGCCATGTAAGACTTGAGGAAATTGAGGGCCGGGGCGATCTGTCTGGTGCTCCTTCTAAATTGTGATTCTCGGACTCTGAGTCCTATCCTACTGGTTTATGACTTGGAATCCTGCTTCAGCAAAATAACACATGGAACTTTCTGCCTTCCTTAGAGAGGGTCAGTGAAAAGATACTGATTTTTAAAATGTGGCTATTTAGCTTTTGGAAAAATATTGGGCAACAGAGTTCATTTGCTTCTTTAGGTGCAAGGCAGCTGGATTTTCAAGAAGATAGACATGAAAAAAAAGAAGAAGAGAGACATGAAGGATTTATTCATTGAAAACCTGTGATTGCCAGCCATGGTCTGCAGCACATTTATATACAGATGCATGAAGATTCCCACCTCTTTGTGCCCAGCCTGGTGCCATCCTGCCAGGAGCAGTGAGGTGCCCCAGGGCAGCTGCAAGGCAACCTGAGCTTTGGCGCCTGTGAACACACCTGGAGCAGCTCAGAAAGAGCCCTGTGCATTGCTCTCTCCTTTGAATGGGTAACTCAGCCAAAGGAATTCTGAGGCTTCCAGTGACGCACCCCATTCTCTGCCCCCGCTCCTCTGGTTCTAGCTTGGCCCGGGTGTGCCCCACGTGAGCCTTGACTAACATGATGAAGACCAGGACAACGAGCCCATCCCTGCTGCGGCCAGATTGGCTCATGGCACCCTAGGTAAGTGTTCCAGCTCCTGGGGTCTCCATGTGTGTCAGAATATGTGCTCCCTGGGGCCCCCAGTGGCTGCATTTTCTTGGAAGTAAATCACCACAGCTTTCTTCCAAGGTGCCCCTAGGTAGGGTCTAACCTCTGACCTTTTGGTAAGCACGCAAACACATTAAACAACAACATTTAAAGAGAAGTTTAAAAAGGCAACGTGTCTTCACAACACAGCTTTTTTTTTTTTTCCCCCCCAGATGGTACAACAAATGTGTCCAAAGAATTTGGCAGCTTTCAATTTCTAACATCTTAAACTGTAGGGTCTTCAAACTTTGGTGCCAGTAGGAAATGCTATAGAAGTGTCACAAAAGGTTGGGGGTTGAAAATTCACAATCAAATGGTAACTGTGATGTGACCCCGCCTGTTTCATTTTCTCATTGGAGCAGTGGGTGAAGGCCAAAGGCAAAGCACACGAGGACTTCATTTCTGTGACAAAGAAACTTCAGTGCTGGGACCAGCAGGTGTGGGA